CCCCCCCCCCCCCCCGCGGGGGGGCATGTACACGTTACCTTTCTTGATTCAGCAAACCACCGTTCTAATGCAGCCCATCGTGTTGGACAATATTTTTTTGCGCCTTCAATATCGCTGCATTTTATATGTGCTTCTTTGTCAGACTCGTTCTTGGGAATTGGTTGAGGATTAAAGTAGCTTTCAGATGAATTAAGTTTCTGTCGGAACTTCATTACAGCAGTATCGTTATCTGACTCTCCAGTTACTTCTCTGGCAACAGCGACGATCTAAAAAAAGAAAATGCATCAACAACATTGGGGAAAGAGGGAAGAAGTACACTCGGAAAAAGTTAAATAAGTTGGTTGAGAAAGCGTGACAACGAAATGTGACTAGCTAGTCAGTTTGACAAGATAAGTACTTAGTTGTTAGTCGACACCGGTACACTGTACAATTGAGCGGAGATCCACCTACTACACACCGTCCTCTATATTTCTCTAAGCCCTGGTCTTTTTTGTATAGCAGAGATGAACCAGTTTGCGATGTATATGACGGTAGAGGCTCCTCTTGAAGTGAACACCAACTCTTACCCGGTACAATAGACGTTAGTAAGGGGACGGGGCGCGGTTGACGGTGTTCAGGCGCGTTTAGAGGCGCAAGTAATGATCAGGCATCATTCAAACCGCTGACATGGCAAACGAGGTGTTTGAAGATACTTCACTCAAAGTTGAAAAGAAGCGAGTTAGCTACGCTAAGGTCAACGTAAAATAAAGTGCCGGGACCTTATTTAGCTGTATCAGTTGCACTCCGTGAAGACGATTCATTTGCACTGTTTATTACACTGATAATTCTTACACACTCGCGTCTCCGCACGCCGTTAGGGACTTTAAGATCCAACGACGCGACGGCAACCGGAACGTCGCTTGAAAGGTGAATTTGCGTTCTTTCAGTCTTTATCGCAATTATTCTTACCCACTTACTGGAGTTGAGTTCCTAGGGACCATATCCAATTGCAGAAAGAGAAACAAAATTTCATCGTTGCTTGTTTCATCATCATCATCATCATCGGTCGGCTGCAGAGCAGGCGACTACAAGCTTCCTCCAGCCACAACGATCCTGTGCCAATTCAGGCAGATTGCCCGGGCCAATCATGTTGTCTGTGTCTCCCAAAAGGTGTTAAATGTATCTGAGAAACAGGGTTCGTTGCCTTCCTGGTTTTCTCTTCCCACGTGGTGGAATATACAGTGCGTACTCCTTGCATGGCTCATCATAAGGCATCCTGAGTACATGACCCAGAAACCTCAGTTGGCGGGTTCTGACATTTTCTACTAGCGGGGCAGTCTGAGTTAGATCATAGATTTTAGCATTGGACACCCTATCAATTCTCTTGATGTTGAGCATAATTCTATAACATGAGGTACCAAAGGCATTGATCTCGCTTTCCATTACTTTCGACAGGACCCACGACTCAGCCATATAGAAGGACAGTGACACAGGTAGTATTAAATAGCTTGCTTGTTTACGTTCTCCATAAAACGCGAAATTAGGCATTTTCACGCCGTGGTCGTGCAAAAACGGGCGAAGAAATGTCCAAAAAAAGCATGATGCACGTGCAAAGTTGTTGTTTTGCTTATTACACCTTTTGTTTTTTTGACGTTCTTGTTGCCGTCCGCGTCGTTGAATCTTAAAGTCCCTATTAAACGTCTTCACATACCGCCGTGTAAGGCATTCATCACACCCCCTTATATTTATTACTTTAAACGAAGTGGGACATTGCAAATCACGGTTGCATAATATAAACATATTTTCCACACTGACAAGACGCAGCTTACCATCGGGTAGAGAACTGCCAGTTGCTGTTGTCCAAGCTTATGGACCTCCATAGGTGTCATTGTGTTTGTTGTGAAATAAGACATGATTTTAGAATAGGCCTGCGATCCGTTCAGCGGTTCACCGGTAGGCAGTGTTGGGTTTGTTGGCCAGGACTTGTTCTCTTTGCCATCGAGCCAAACATACTTCAGTGGGAGAGTGGCTAAACCGCTGGACACATTGCTGGGAACGCAGTGACGGATGTGCTCTGTTTCTAGATATCTATATAACATTAAAAAAAATCGAAACAAAATTATGAAAAACGAGCTTCCGTAATGAAGAAAGCATTTCTCAACTCTCTTGTGAGGAAAATTATTGCGATTTAAGATATAAGAAATTAATTTATTTGTAACAAGGGTGCATTCTGTATTTCAGAGCCGGCTGGGAATAAAGTAATTTTCAACGTTAAAAAAATCTTTTAAACTTTCGTTTGTACACACCCTTTTCTGGAACCTTAAAAAAGATTGGCAGGGGTGAGACTTGTCTCCTTTGGGCCGCAGTCACGCAATGTTCCCTACGGCATTGCGTGATTCCGGCCCGAGCGGTTGCGAAGGAGACTAGGGTGAGACAAAAATAAATTTGAAGAGAAAATAACGAGGGTTACCGTAAATGATCTAATAAACGCCCGGGGCGTTTATTTAATTTTAGGCGTCCAAGAGGGGGCGTTTAATAGATGGGAGGCGTTTAAAAGAGAGAGGCGTTTATTCTCGTAACTCAACATAACGGTATACAGTATGCTTTCGGCTAAAAACGTTTTTGTGCCACAGAATCTCGACTGCAGGCCTGACGGCTAATCTAGAAATTGAACATGACATAATACACAAACTGATGTTAATCAAGAAATGAAATTAATAAATTGATTGATTTTGCTCTATTTTACCATTTCCTAGTATTTGGGGGCAATTTTCAAGGGGGGCGTTTATTAGATAGGGGGGGGGGGNNNNGGTTATTAGAGAGGGGCGTTTAATACTAACTTAACAGCGTAAGGGGGGCGTTTATTAGATAAGAGGCGTTTATTTGAGAGTGGGCGTTTATTAGATCGTTTACGGTAATTTCATTTGATCGGGAGCGATACCTGAGTTGATTCACCTAACTAATATACATGATGGGCGTTTTGAAACAGGCTTCGCTTTTGGTTTTCTTCGACTATTCACACTTTCAGTCCATTGTACTCGTATGTTATGATAAAGGGAAACCAAACTTTGAAGATCTTGTGCGTGCTAAATTCGTGTGAGAAAGATCAATATTGCAAATCTTTTTACCTTAGCAGTTTAGTGATCGGTTCGCCGAGATAGGTCACCAAGTAATCCTTGATTGTTTCACTGACGTTCTTTCCATGCTTGGCCTTCCATTCACTATCTACTGTTTCTGTTATGTTGCTGTAAAAGTCAGGGCTCAATATGAGTTGGACAAACCACTCTTTCAAAACTCCTGTAATGCAATGGAGAAAGCGAGATTAGGTTAATCACACACTTTCAACAATCTCCCATTGGAGACGTTATTTTGGCTCGTCACGCAATCCTCCTCAACAACCGTGGGGCAGGAACGCGTGACGAACCGCTAAGAACGTCTCCGTGAGAGGATATATTTCAACATACGGACTGCGAATTTTGTTGCACCGTGCACATTACAAACATCTTGCCTTGATTTCAGCCGGTGAAACTTAAAAACGATACTCTATCTTTGTGATCTTTGCAGTGATACTTAATCGTCTGTTCGAAGGGGGAAGCAGGATGGCGAGAATTCTTTCCCCCATCCTCTGCGAGGTCCATACCCTCCCCCTTTAGAAGAGTCAACACTTTGCCCAGATAGGACCCTTTTCATGTGCCTTCACTAACACTTCCCTCGAAGAAGAGTTTCGGTTAATAAGACTAATGCTGAGCGACGTTAACTAATTTATCCTTTCAGTAGGTAGCATTCTTCGAAAGACGCGTCATATACACCTAAACAGCGATAACAAGTATTCTAAGCCTTTTTTAACCCCACCTCATGAAATAGCCTTAAAGTTAAGCACCCTTTTGTGCGGAACATCCCTTTGTAGTCTCTTCTCTAACAGGGAGTACCCCTATTATTCCCTATAAGAGAGAGCTAAGCCAACACTGGCTATGTCACCCACCCTGACAGTGATTCCTTCAAAGATTTCAATTTTCAATAATGTACTGCAAGCACAGCTTCCAAATCACTGTTACGTAAGTCTCAGGAGTTGATCAGCTAGGATCAGCTTGTCCTATAGTAAGTTATTAAACTGAAAATGAGTAGGACTGATAAAAACAACAGATAAAACATCTGCGGAATTCAGATTTGCCTTATCAATGCCCTCTGAGCGATAACAACGCCCACATAATGATTAAATTAAAATGTTGTCTTAAACTTCGTGCGGTCTTTGGTTATCTTGTCAATCAGTGATCAGTTCTAGAAACCCAATAGTGAAGAGGCGAACGAGGTCGCGTTTTCTTTGGGATGTTACTAGAACCGAGAACGGCCGGGGAACTGAAAAATGAAAACTATGAGAACAAATCCGGGCATTGGAAATTAAGTTACTTCAGGTTACGATTTGTTCCCATTTTTCATTTTCCCAACTCACCGTTGCCTGTTCCCTGTTTCCCCTTTTAGTAACATCTGTTTTCTTTTCCGTCGTAGCCAATCTAATTACATAACCGTGCAGATCTCAAATTAAGGGAAATGGTTGAGAGACGTATTAACCTTTGTATCTCCTTCTGGGCTTTACTATCACGCGATTTTTACACAAAAATAAATGTTACTCAAAAGTAGTAATAATGGATATAAAAAAATGTGGTCGAATTCAAGTCCGTGTGGTTCCTTGTGAGTCAGGTGTTTTTGAGTTATAACTGAAGGACACCAACAGGGCTACCGGAAACTTTTTACCAAATTATATGCCTTAGGAACATTGAGCACGCTATTGAAACGATTAATAATCATCAATCAATCGATAAAAGCTCGAAGTTCACAAAGATAAGTCATCTCACGCGCACTAGTATTAACCAACCAACATTTAAGTGCCTCGGCAAAAAAACTTGTAATTATTGCAAACCAAAGAAGCCGATCATGTACACGCATAAAGGGCCTCATCTCTGATCTGATCTTCGAGGGATTAAAGTTTTGGAACACTATTACGTCATTTGGCGGTTCTCAAAACTGACAGTCAGCTGTATTTTGACATCTAAAGGATACAATAGTCGTCTTGTTTGCTTTAGTAGGGTATTAGTTGCGGCACCTCGTGACCTCTAAAAAGGTTAAAAAGATTTTATAGATGGTCCTGTGCGCTACCTGCCAACTGATAACCTCAAGAAAGTAGAAAGAAGAAAAAGGCTGCGTTGCAGCCGGCCCACGCACTCGTCTAAACCATTTGTTTTGCTCTCTACTTAAGGTTTAGAGCGTCTGCGACGTAAGCGAAAAGGANGTCCTATAGTAAGTTATTAAACTGAAAATGAGTAGGACTGATAAAAACAACAGATAAAACATCTGCGGAATTCAGATTTGCCTTATCAATGCCCTCTGAGCGATAACAACGCCCACATAATGATTAAATTAAAATGTTGTCTTAAACTTCGTGCGGTCTTTGGTTATCTTGTCAATCAGTGATCAGTTCTAGAAACCCAATAGTGAAGAGGCGAACGCGGTCGCGTTTTCTTTGGGATGTTACTAGAACCGAGAACGGCCGGGGAACTGAAAAATGAAAACTATGAGAACAAATCCGGGCATTGGAAATTAAGTTACTTCAGGTTACGATTTGTTCCCATTTTTCATTTTCCCAACTCACCGTTGCCTGTTCCCTGTTTCCCCTTTTAGTAACATCTGTTTTCTTTTCCGTCGTAGCCAATCTAATTACATAACCGTGCAGATCTCAAATTAAGGGAAATGGTTGAGAGACGTATTAACCTTTGTATCTCCTTCTGGGCTTTACTATCACGCGATTTTTACACAAAAATAAATGTTACTCAAAAGTAGTAATAATGGATATAAAAAAATGTGGTCGAATTCAAGTCCGTGTGGTTCCTTGTGAGTCAGGTGTTTTTGAGTTATAACTGAAGGACACCAACAGGGCTACCGGAAACTTTTTACCAAATTATATGCCTTAGGAACATTGAGCACGCTATTGAAACGATTAATAATCATCAATCAATCGATAAAAGCTCGAAGTTCACAAAGATAAGTCATCTCACGCGCACTAGTATTAACCAACCAACATTTAAGTGCCTCGGCAAAAAAACTTGTAATTATTGCAAACCAAAGAAGCCGATCATGTACACGCATAAAGGGCCTCATCTCTGATCTGATCTTCGAGGGATTAAAGTTTTGGAACACTATTACGTCATTTGGCGGTTCTCAAAACTGACAGTCAGCTGTATTTTGACATCTAAAGGATACAATAGTCGTCTTGTTTGCTTTAGTAGGGTATTAGTTGCGGCACCTCGTGACCTCTAAAAAGGTTAAAAAGATTTTATAGATGGTCCTGTGCGCTACCTGCCAACTGATAACCTCAAGAAAGTAGAAAGAAGAAAAAGGCTGCGTTGCAGCCGGCCCACGCACTCGTCTAAACCATTTGTTTTGCTCTCTACTTAAGGTTTAGAGCGTCTGCGACGTAAGCGAAAAGGAAAATGTTTTCAAGTCATTGAACAGAATAAGAATCGATCAAAGAAATCTGAGGTAAAGTCTAAAAATGTGCACCAAAGAATATCATAAATGGACAACTCAAAGAAGGGCAAACCACCTCACCTGTCTCATTATAACGAGAAGTATTCAAGTATCGCCTCTTGATCGAGTTGAGACCTGCTAAGCACTCTTCCGTACTTCGGATCATTCCCCTTCGAACACCCATCTTCATGTTTGCAATATACTGAAGAAATCCTGCCTTGTGAGTTTTCAGCTTGCTTTCTATTAGTTTTACATCATCGGCGTTGTACGGCTTGTGATGCCGTCCTATTCCATTGTGGACACCGTAACCATGTGCACAGATTTCCTGCCAACAGAACAAATTCGGGCCCATCATCCAATCTCCGGTGTAGTAGTTGACATCGTAAGGCTGACCGAACATATGTTGAAGATAATGCTTTACTTGTGCCAACGCCTTCCTCTCTCGGGGCTTCAACCTGTTTGTGTTAATGTTCTTGTCGCTAATCTCTTTCAGCAACGCCAGAGCGGTGTCCGAGCGGTTTTTGATCACGGCCGGCGTAGGATCGTATGCGACGTATTCTGTTTTTACTCGATCCGGAGTGACGTCTGGATCGGATACAACATCATAAGGATGAAGCTTGAAGTAGGTTGATTTAACGCGATTAAGAAATTCAGGAAGACCTGCATTTTGAGCTTCTTCTGAAAAATCGCACCTACTGGAAGATGCCTTTGTGCTGGGGACTGTTGGAGTGGAACCGGTCTCTGAGGGAACGCTGTTCTTTTGAGGTTCCATGGTTGTTGAAGTCGAAGTTGATTTACCATCCTTTTTGGTTGCGGCGACTACAATCAACACGATTCCAACAATGAGGACGATCAAAGCTACCACCAGCAGAGCGATAGTGATAATTCGCTGTTTTTTACCCTCGCCAAACTTAGTTCCTGCACCCTCGCTTATCATGAATTCCGTGCTTTTAGAGGAGGACTCCATGACTGTGCGATAAGGGAGGTGGATAAACCTGTGCCTTGTACGATCCCAATGACAGGGGCTATTGTGTCTATGTCATCCAAAGCATTCTCTTACTATATGTAAACAGTAACTTGATCATATTTGCCTCGACATTGGCAGAAAACTTGAGTCACCTTTGGTCGATTTCCTTGATTCTCTACGTGAAGCTCAAGCAAACCTTCCTTTTCACGGGTTTCCGGGGGCCAGCTGTCTAATTTTCGAAGGTTACGCAACAATGCATGCCGACGCTCAAGTATCGGACTTGGGCTACCTGTTTGCCCTATGTAAGCGAATACGGATTTAGGAATGATTGTAGGTGTGCCCGCAAACCCATATATTAACACAGGGAGCCCACACAATCTGTTTGTGTAGCCGATTGTTATTTTATAGTAAATGTACTGGATTTACCGTTTGCTTCACCTAAGGCGATATATCGCTAACTATGTATATAAATCAATGATAAATAAACGTTGAATTAACTTACCTGTGGTATATAGTCGTCCTTTTACCTCAAAAGCGGTTTTTTGGGCGATTTTTTAATGAATTTGAGTTCGCCGTTGACTGTTCCATATATATATGGAACAGTCAACGCCCAGATTGTGTGGGCTCCCTGTGATATTAAGGACCTTAAGCAAGAACGACGACGGTGGCAGTGAAAACGTCGGTAAAAAAAATGAATTTGCGTTCTTTCAACCTTAATCGCGTCTATCTGGAGCCGCTCAAAATGTCAAATGCAGGCGACTTTTCCTGGAGTTGAATTCTTAAGGATTTTATTCAAGTTCAAAAACAGGAAGGAAAATTCGTCGTCTTATGTTCACGTCCTCCAGATTACGTGATGCAGAGCTGTTGTTTTAATCATTATTGAAGAAGTCGTTGTGGTCGTCTTCGAAGTTGCTTAGCTCTCTATCATTGAGTCAGAAAAACTTATTCAGGTTCAAAAACAGGAAGAAAAATTCGTCGTCGTATGTTCACGTCCTCCAGATTGTTTTTTGAAGTCGTGGTTGTGGTCGTCGCGTCGTAGTTGCTTACGCTCCCTATTATTGAGTCAGAAAAAACTTCCCAACAAAGCTTCTCTTCCGTGAACGACAATTTAGTGCATATATTACACTTATACTATGCATTATCCCAAAATTGTCTGTTCGTGCCGCACTGTCCGGCCCTCGGGCAATCAGCGTTCAGTGAAATATGGTACTGAAATAATTCCTTCGATCATGGTTCGATTTTTGAAGCCGACCCTGCGTTCCGTTATTGTGAGAGTGGAATTGAATTGACACAGTTCCTTGCTAATGGTGACGTGCCCTGCGAGCAGAGCTTTCTTTGCGGCTTGGCTTTTAGCATTTCCGAAGTCCTTTGCCTCGCTGATTTGCTTACGTAAAAAAAAAAACCAACTACGCGACTGTGAATGCTAAAAGCCATGCCGGAGTGGGTGGCCGATATTGGCCGAGAGGGTTTGGTCCACTAAATCCCAGTCCTCTCTTCTCTCTCCTGAATATTTACTTCCGTCTCAGTGGGTTCCAATCCTCGCTCTTATATACCTGTTCATATTGCGACGAAGAGAAGACAAATCTATTCGACATGCGACGATCCACTTTCATGATCTACGCGGCGAAGCTTTGCTCCGTAACAGAAATCGTGGTAAGATCGCCATTCCTATCTGTGAACATATTGCTGGTTTTCAGTGTCACGCCACTCAAAATAGATCAAAATAAAAATCAAAACCATGCGACAGATTAAGTCCAGACTCTGGGAAATGAGAGGAGCTAACTATACAAAGACCCTCGCCAAGATTTGGGTCGAAGGAATAATTTGTATGCGAGATATCCGAGGAAATGTTTTACCCAAATTTATAGAGCTTTCTATGGAGACGCCATGCTGGAGCTCAGCCGGATGAGCTCCAACATGGCGGACGGAAACCAACAGAAACATCTGTTACCGACTTTTGCTACAAAAGCGTGAATTTACTCCTAGAGGAACTCATAAACATTAAAGTAATACTTTTTCTAAGACTTGAACTGTTTAGATAGCAAAATTCCTTGAAAAAAGTCACTTTTTTTAACCTAAATGACAGCTCTCTCGGCCGTCATGTAAGTGTTGCGTCACGCAAAAGCTTAGAAATTCAAGCGTACTCTATTACAAAACCAAGAAACCTTTTAGAGCGAAAATTTGTTTGAAAATTAGTTTTTAGCTGCCCTAATACACCATGAAAGTAAAATCTCGGTAGGATCGATAGTTTTGTAGTTTGAATTTTAGTGACGTATCGGGTATGTTTTTCTTGTCAGATCAATAGCTATCCAATGTAGTGTAAACATAGCCTAATTAAAAGTTAAAAAAACTGACGAGGAATTAGCCGTTAAACACGTAACCATGAGGAAAAACTGAACAAACAAACTCAGGGGAATAAAAGTGCTTCAACAAGAAAAAAGGAGGAACAGCGACCACCTCACCTGTCTCATTATAACGAGAAGTATTCAAATATTGCCTCTTGATTGCGTCATTTCCTGCCTCACACTCTTCCGTACTTCGGATCATTCCCCTTCGAACACCCATCTTCATGTTTTCAATATACTGAAGAAATCCTGCTTTGTGGGTTTTCAGCTTGCTTTCAATAAGTTTCACATCATCGGCGTTGTGCGGTTTGTGATGCCGTCCTATTCCATTGTAGACGCCGTACCCGTGTCCACAGATTGGCTGCCAGCAGAATAAATTCGGGCCCATCATCCAATCTCCGGCATAGTAGTTGACATCGTAGGGCTGGCCGAACACATGCTGAAGAAAGTGCTTTACTTGTGCCAACGCCTTTCTCTCTCGAAGCTTTAGCAGGTCTGTCTTGATGCTTTTGTCGCTTATCTCTTTCAGCAACGCTTGAGCGGTGTCCGTTCTATTTTTGATCGTGGACGGCGTAGGATCGTAGGCGACGTATTCTCTTTTAATTCGATCTGTAGTGGCGTCTGGATCGAACACAACATCATAAGGATGGAGTTTATAGTAAGTTGATTTAACGCGACCAAGAAACTCACCAAGACCTACATTTTGAGCTTCTTCCGAAAAGGCACACGTATGGAGAGCTGATTTCGTGGGGGCGACCGTTGGAGTGGAACCGGACTTTATACTGACTGTACTACTACTTCCACTTTCCTTTGTAGGAACGCTGTTTTGTTGAGGTTCCATGGTTGTTGAAGTCGAAGCGGATTTTGCATTATTTTTGGTTGACGCGACTGCAATCAACACGACTCCCACAATTAATACGATCGAAGCCACGACTAACAGAGCGATAGTGATAATTCTCTCTTTTCTACTCCGGCCGGACTTAGTGTCTGAATCCTCGCTAATAACAAATTCCGTGCTTCTTGAGAACTCCATGACTGTCAAATAACAAAAGCAAAATCTGCAGATCGGTTGGGATCAATCTATGCGTCGTACGATCTGATGTAAACCAAGTTGACTGTTCACGTAAGATCTAGAAAAACTTCCCACCAAAGCTTCTCTTCCGTGAACGACAATTCAGCAGCTGATTTAGTGCATATATTACACTTATACTATGCACGGTCTCAAAATAGTCTGGTCGTGCAGCACTGTCACTGTCACTGCACGGGCAATCAGCGTTCAGTGAAGTATGGTACTGAAATAATTCCTTCGATCATGGTTCGATTTTTGAAGCGGACCCTGCGTTCCGTTATTGTGAGAGTGGAATTGAATTGACACAGTTCCTTGCTAATGGTGACGTGCTCTGCGAGCAGAGCTTTCTTTGCGGCTTGGCTTTTAGCATTTCCGAAGTCATTTGCCTCGCTGTCAGTCGCCTATTTGGTTTGTTTAGGTAAAAAAAAAAACAACTACGCGACTTGTGAATGCTAAACAGTTTCTTGCTAATGGTGACATGCCCTGCGAGCAGAGCTTTCTGTTGTGAAGGATTTTGAAAGTTATTTTTAAGGCAGTTCTATCTTATCTTTTAAGTTTAGTTTTTGTTTCATTTAGTCTTGTTTTGTCCACGTACTGTTTTCCTGTTTTGATCCTTTGTTTTTACTTGTACTTGAATTTATGCTTAGCTCGCGAATTTACTTATTGCCATATTAGGTATGTTATTTGCTTGGCACTGTCAAATGTTAGTTTTTTACAAGTGATCGTGTTTATGGTGTTACCACCCTCGTTATTTGGTACTTATCAGTTGCAACTGTGCGTAGGGTAGTCTATTCCCTAACAATAGGCCAAATTATGCGCAAATATGCGCATATTTCGCAGCGACATTTTAAAAACTCGCTTTTGCTTTATTGTATTGGCAGTTTATTTGGTAAAAAAAGTTAAACCACAGAACGAATGATGAAATGTCGAATTATCTTTGCGCGAGCGAGATCTTGATTGTGTCGTAAATAAATACACTGCATTGAGTGTTTAGCTCACAGAAGCCGACGCTCAGTGTAATGTAGACTTGCTACAAGTCGACCTCTTGTCGAGCGGAGCGAACCTCTTTTGGCCGCGAAGCGGCCGACCACGAGCGAAGGACTTTTTGAAAGTCTAAGTGTAATGGTCTGTAATGTTTTGCTTCTGTATTTAAAAGGTTTTTAGCTCTTATACAAACCAAAACGGCGGGTAAGTAAGTTTACATTCCTTAACAGACCTCAAGACTAGCGATGCGAGTAGCAATCATAAGAAAATACGACACAGGCGATTCAGCGATCAGTGTTCGCATGGCGAATTTTAGTTTGTAGAGTGGTTGGTTACAGACACTGCTCGTGCAGCGATAGACAGAAACCTTTCTTGAGTCCTATAAATATTCCAGTTTCCTTCACTTGGCCACAATTTGATTTGCTGTAACGATGGAGAAACGTTGTCGTCCACCTCAAGGCTATCATAAGAGCCTAGAAACTGCTCTACTTTTTCGAGACCGGGAAAAGTGTAACAAAAGGCCTGACATACTCGGTATCTATCAAGCCGAGCGAATAGTTGGGAAGAAAATTGTCAACGGAAGGCCAATGTTCATGGTAAAGTGGGAAAATTTCTGCGCCCGCGAAAACACATGGGAGCCAAAGGCTCATCTACATTCTGAGCTGATAGAGGCATTTGAAAATCCCGAACCAGACCCGGACATGCTCGTTAGAGTTACAATATAAAAGGTTTGCACAAGGCTTCACGCCGGTATAGATATGCGGCCTATCACCCCTTGCATTGTCTCCTCTCATACATCAAAGGGAGGGCGACCTCTGCGGCCAGTGAGTAAACGCCCTGTAGGTGCAGGGAACGCTCGATCTCTGTGCGCTCGATAAACATGTAATGGCGGATCCTATGCCAGCCCCGAATCCCCACAATTTATAATTGCGTTCGAGGTACGAGAACGCAACCCCTAATTTGTGTTGCGTGTTCTGGGCATTATTGGGTGTCATGTGCAATTAATACGGGAGGTTTTTTTGAAATTGCATTTTCGTCGTCGACACACATTTGCCTCGCTTTGAGGCGCTTGCTTACGTTTTGCCTCACTTTGACGCTCTAGCTCACGTGGTGATTCTTGGGTCCTCGGCGTTCATCTTTCAAAGGTTTGCTGACTTTCTGATAGTTTGTCTTCGTAAAGCGTTCATCTTTTAAAAAGTTTGCTGAATCTTCGTAAAGCGTACATCGATATGTGTTTGCTGAATCGTCCAAAGCGTTCATCTTTCAGAAGTTTGCTGTTAAATTTTACTGTGGATTAAGCCTTCATATTTTTCAGAATGGTTCGTCACTGTCTTTGAAAAATGTCGGCGACTCCTGGTGCATGCATCAAACCGGGTTTAGTTGGCGGCCGTTGTGCCACAAAGTAAACTTACCGAGTTGTGTAGCTCAGCAGCCGTTGTGCCACAAAGTAAATCTACCGAGATGTGTCGCTCGGCGGCGCCATTCGATCATGACTTGTGATATTTTCGGCACCGGACAAACCAACGAACATTTTAACTCTATGTTATTTATTAGAAAAAGCTTATAAAACAGTCCACAGTAGCGCCACTCTCGAGTCACTGAGATCAACACGTTCGACCAAATTACTGGAAAAGTTATTGACGTGAGCTGCACACACATTCCATTGAAGGCTTTGACAGGGTTAGTGCGAAGTTTGAATTCAGATGTGAAAGCTTTTAAAACAGTAAATTCAATTTAATTCATTTTGTCAACAAGTTGATGACTGGATACTCTTAAACTAAAAACAGACAAAACATCCGAAGAAATGTTTTTGAAGAAAGAAAAATAATCTCGGGTTAAGCACTAATCGGCCTTTGAGCAACTGCGCCCTGTAATCGCGCTAGTGAAACAAAATGTCATGCACGCCCGACGCACGCTGGCCAATGTCTCCTCCGATTACAAGCACTTGACACCGAACCATACGAGATCTTGATACACAGTTGAAATAGAGGTTTTGCTGTACGCAACCCTTACGTTCAATATAAGCCATAATCATATTTATCTATAGCCTGCGAGCAACTAAAGAACCACCCACGATCCACCCCCCGACAGATGTTCTTGATCAACGATCACTGTAGCCTGCGTAGCAAGCGTTTCCAGTCGAGTTATAGCGCGAAAGTTAGTTAGTCGTTCCTTTTTTTTGCTCTCGTCCCAACTTTCTCGGCGAACTCGCGCGGAAACGCTTGCTATGCAGGCTAGAACGAAAATTCAGAAGTCGTGTTGAAAATTTTTAAGGTCAAATTTGAAATATGACTCGGTAAGTGTAATTTGATGAAGCGAGTTGAAAATATACGGCGAGCAAGATCAAATAAAAGAGTTGAGTTTAAAAAATAAAAGACAAGTGTAAAAACGTTTTCCAGTGATGCGAAATCTGAAGGTAGAGTGCAAAATTTTGAATTCGGCTATAAAAGTCAAGTAGAAATTTAGATGATGAATTTAAAATTCAAACAATGAATTTTGGCGGGGATCGTACACCATAGATATTAGCTTTTCGTGGTTTTTCTTTTCGGTAGATTGTTTTAATCAGTCAATCCTGGCGTTCTGTTTTACTGCGGTTTGGCAACACACCTTTTATTGTTTTGCTGCGTGCAAAATTGTTTAATACTCTCGTATAAGTAGAGGCAGGTTTTTTTCGTACTGTCAGAGTTTGGACGTCACTGAAGAAACTGCAGTAGTTGTAAAGTTAACTTGAACTTGCGTCTAGCAAGGTAGGATAGTTTGGTTGGTTTATCATTTAGCTTAAGTACTTGACCTCGTTAATTACCGAATAATTCAGTCTTAGTTTAGTCTTTTCTTAGTTATGTTTCTAGACTACGAGTAGTCCTCCATTTTTCATCGGGGAACTGTAGATCGAGCGAAACGCGAGCGCGTGAAAATCACCCCACGCGAGAAAAGGCGACACGCGGCGCGTGGGGTGATTTTCACGCGCGCTCCCGTTTAGCTCGCTCTACTATCCCTGAGGAAAAATATGGGACTAGAGAGACACAGAGTGTGCAGCCCGCGAGCAAGCTCCCCGGGAACCCCGGGAGAGCTTGTTCACAACCTACGGAGTGTGAAAACGGACGCAACATGTAACACCCAACAATGTTGCGTCCGTTTGCACGGGGCTTTACTGGCGGCCTGTTAACAATGCAACATTCGTCTTGTTCGATTTGATCTGAGCAGCGCTTTCCCAGTGCTATAGTGGGAGCTTTCAAGGACGCCAGAAAAGCGAAGTAAGCGCATGATAATCTAAGCTTATGTCTACCCTATACTGGATAGCCTTTCGTCCCGCGCGACCTGAAAAGCTCTACGGCAACGGCACAGAAGTGGAACAAGATGTTATCGTACCGGAGATTGGCCGAGAGGGTTTGGTGCGCTAAATCCCAGTCCTCTCTCCTCTCTCCTGAATATTTACCTCCGCCTCAGTGGGTTCCAGTCCTCGCTCTTGTATACCTGTTTATATTGCGACGAAGAGAGGACAAACCTATCCGACATGCGACGATCCACTTTCATGATCTACGCGGCGCAGCTTTGCTCCGTAACAGAAATCGTGGTAAGATCGCCGTTCCTATCTGTGAACATATTGCTGGTTTTCAGTGTCAGGCCATTCAAAATAGATCAAAATAAAAATCAAAACCATGCGACAGATTAAGTCCAGAATCTGGGAAATGAAAGGAGCTAACTATACAAAGACCCTCGCCAAGATTTGGGTCGAAGGAATAATTTGTATACGAGATATCCGAGGAAATGTTTTACCCAAATTTATAGAGCTTTCTATGGAGACGCCATGCTGGAGCTCATCCGGATGAGCTCCAACATGGCGGACGGAAACCAACAGAAACATCTGTTACCGACTTTTGCTACAAAAGCGTAAATTTACTCCTAGAGGAAATCATAAACATTAAAGTAATACTTTTTTTAAGACTTGAACTGTTAAAAAAAAAATTAAAATGAAAATTAGTTTTTAGCTGCTCTAATACACCATGAAAGTAAAATCTCGGTAGGATCGATAGATTTGTAGTTTGAATTTTAGTGACGTATCGGGTATGTTTTTCTTGTCAGATCAATAGCTATCCAATGTAGTGTAAACATAGCCTAATTAAAAGTAAAAAAAACTGACGAGGAATTAGCCGTGAAACAAGTAACCATGAGGAAAAACTGAACAAACAAAGGGGAATAAAAGTGCTTCAACAAAAAAAAAGGAGGAACGGCGACCACCTCACCTGTCTCATTATAATGAGCAGTATTCAAATATTGCCTCTTGATTGCGTCATCACCGTCCTGCCTCACACTCTTCCGTACTTCGGATCATTCCCCTTCGAACACCCATCTTCATGTTTTCAATATACTACAGAAATCCTGCCTTGTGAGTTTTCGGCTTGCTTTCAATAAGTTTCACATCATCGGCGTTGTACGGTTTGTGATGCCGTCCTATTCCATTGTAGACGCCGTACCCGTGTTCACAGATTGGCTGCCAGCAGAATAAATTCGGGCCCATCATCCAATCTCCGGCATAGTAGTTGACATCGTAGGGCTGGCCGAACACATGCTGAAGAAAGTGCTTTACTTGTGCCAACGCCTTTCTCTCTCGAAGCTTCAGCAGGTGTGTCTTGATGCTTTTGTCGCTTATCTCTTTCAGCAACGCTTGGGCGGTGTCCGTTCTATTTTTGATCATGGACGGCGTAGGATCGTAGGCGACGTATTCTCTTTTAATTCGATCCGCAGTGGCATCTGGATCGTACACAACATCATAGGGATGGAGTTTAAAGTAAGTTGATTTAACGCGACCAAGAATCTCACCAAGACCTACATTTTGAGCTTCTTCCGAAAAGGCACACGTATGGAGAGCTGATTTCGTGGTGGCGACCGTTGGAGTGGAACCGGACTTTGTACTGACTGTACTACTACTTCCACTTTCCTTTGTAGGAACGCTGTTTTGTTGAGGTTCCATGGTTGTTGAAGTCGAAGCGGATTTTGCATTATTTTTGGTTGACGCGACTGCAATCAACACGACTCCTACAATTAATACGATCGAAGCCACGACTAACAGAGCGATAGTGATAATTCTCTCTTTTCTACTCCGGCCGGACTTAGTGTCTGAATCCTCGCTAATAACAAATTCCGTGCTTCTTGAGAACTCCATGACTGTCAAATAACAAAAGCAAAATCTGCAGATCGGTTGGGATCAATCTATGCGTTGTACGATTTGATGTAAATCAAGTTGATGTTTATGTAAGATCTAGAAAAAATTCCCACCAAAGCTTCTCTTCCGTGAACGACAATTTAGTGCATATATTACCACAGGTAGCCCAAGCTCGAAATATGGGCAGCGGCGAGCATCGGCATTGTTGCGTAACATTCAAAATATAAGGATTTGTATGGGAAAAAAAAACCTATCGTTTCTGTAACCTACGAAAATGAAAGGATTTCAATAAAAAACAGCTTACGTTACTTAAAATGTATGCGTGTATACGTTTCTGTTTCAGTTTCTGCGGGTACGCTTAAACGCATCCCTTATACTCGCGTTTCGGTAACGCGATATATATATATATATATATATATATATATTCCGGTATATAAACAAGTGGACGTTTGTGAGACAACCCTGGACCGTTTCATGCATCCACAACGACCCATATTCGCTGACACACAAGTCAAGCACAGTCATATTTAGGTGCCTTTTTGGTATTAAAGTTTTTCAAGTAGATCATTCTCTCTTGAGTTTTTATCAAAATAATTCTCTCTCCATTTTCATATAATACGTACATATGTATATTAAATATTTTCACAATAAAAAAGAGACTCCTTTCAATGTATTCCTATTTTCTATATCCAAAACTGTAACTTTTCCATTTCAATAGGCCACTTCCGAGTTCCAAATACCCTCACTTTCAAAATGAGGCTAGATGCGCAACCTTTCTTGTGAAAATGAGTTTTGTTTGCGAGAATGAAAAATGATTCCCACATCAAAGGCTGAGCACCTACCCTCGTTTTGAAACAGAGGCCCGGGGGAACTCGGAAATGGACTATTAAATAATCCTTTTAGAATTGACAAAATTCAAAATTTTTTCCTTGAAATGATTAAATTAACATATTAATAATTATTCAGTGTAACCTCTTCTTATGGACCCTTCTACAAGACGGACAGTTCGTTTGGTCCCAGAAATGCCAAAAATCATACATTCCCTACCTCTATAATACGGACACCTCTGTAAAGCGGACACTTGCACCACAGGTTTTTTCCCCATACAAATCCTTATATTTTGAATGTTACGCGACAATGCTGATGCTCGCCGATGCTCATATTTCGAGCATGGGCTACCTGTGATATTACACTTATACCATGCAGAGTCTCAAAATAGTCTGGTCGTGCCGCACTGTCCGGCCCTCGTGCAATCAGCGTTCAGTGAAATATGGTACTGAAATAATTCCTTCGAACATGGTTCGATTTTTGAAGCGGACCCTGCGTTCCGTTATTGTGAGAGTGGAATTGAATTGACACAGTTCCTTACTAATGGTGACGTGCCCTGCGAGCAGAGCTTTCTTTGCGGCTTGGCTTACAGCATTTCCGAAGTCATTTGCCTCGCTGTCAGTCGCGTATTTGGTTAATGTTTACGTAAAAACGCGACTGTGAATGCTAAAAGCCATGCCGGAAAGAAACCTCTGCTCGCGGGGTAATGGTGACAAGAAGCAAATATCGCACTTCCTATCCCGCAATGGTAGAGGATGTAAAGCGAATCCTCTGCTCTGATAAGCTACCCGAGATGGTCAGACTTGTCTGTTTTGCTCTCGGGGCTCGCCCAGTTTGTCCCGCAAAAGATAAAAAATTCTAATACCGGGGTAAATGCAAAGAAGATCATCGCAGGTAAAGACGCAACTTAGCTTTAAAGAAAGGCTGAAAAGTTCGAAGGCTAATTAGCGCTAACTTGATCGGGTTTCTTTTTGTTTTGTTTAAAAGCATTTTGTCGGATTATTTTCCTTCTTCTACTCAAGGTTTTATATCTGAATTCAAATTTCGCACTAACGCTGGGTTATCTTAACCCCACTTTGCACAACCCGGCCAAGGCTTGTGTTAGTCGTAAAATATCCTTTACCGACCGACATGACCGAGTATTTGCCTTATTCTCTTCTGTGCGTGTTCATATTTTTATGAAAACGCACTAAAAACAAAAGCAAAACTTGGCCAGTGAAAGATATCGCTTCCACGCCTGGACGGAATAATGTACATCTTATGTTCCCGTAAAAGAAGCAAAAGTTTCACTTCCAACAGCGGGCAAAAGAAGCGAAACATCTCTCTAACATGTGCTTGATTCTTCTGATGTTCACGTAAAAAAGGGATAAAAAAAGGAACTTTTTGTTTTCAACAGCCAATTGGTAATACATACGCGCAAGGGTCCTCTCTTGATATGCGTTGTTGACCAAGCGCGACGTTCTGTTGTTGCGTTTTTGTGGACCGAGTGCAGAAGTCGGTGTCAATACAAACACCATATAACAAAAAAGAAACGAACGAGGCCAATAGCCAGCCATTTTAAACGAACAAGCTTGGTCGAATAAAAGGATTCATCATACAGCCAAAATATCTTGTTTCTTGTTGGAGTTCAATCCCAAGTGAGCGAGATAGGCGCAGGACTTCTCTGTGGGATAGGCCTGGGGACGAGGCTGAATGCCTGCTTTAGTAGCCAACCAGAACCCAAACTGCAAGGATTTAAAGGTCGTTTAAGAGACCACAGGAAGTCTCTTCCGAGAAGATGCTCGGGCACATGGTCTTTCTGGAAGAGAATTTTATGCATGCAATTTCCATGTTGCGATATGTGTAGTTCCGTACTGTTACTAAACGTTCTCCATACACTTTGAGTTTAGCGGGACTAGGCGTAGTGGATACTAGATGCAATATTCATAGAGATGAGACTACATGTTAATTAAGTGGTCGCTTACAGGAGGTTAAAAACGACGGAAATTATAAAAGCGTCACCCCAAGAAGTCGAGAAAAAGTGATCGCGGTCGCCTACGAGAGGTGGTCATTTACGAGAGCCAGTTCAATCATGAGGCTTTGACCCGGAAAAATCTTGGGAGTGTTGGATCGGTGGTCCGTTATGGGAGGTGGTTGCAAATGGAGGTTCGACTAAATAACAAATACATCTACTGTTTCCAAAAACAGGAGCGAAAGGTTTCGCCTCCAATAGTGAATGGTCAAAAGAAACCGCAAAACACCTCGCCGAGCAATTGCTGCTGGCGGTAAGGGGAACTTCTCGAAGAGCTAAGATGTTGATATTGAGGACACAGATGGAGGATTAATTAACTGGGACTGATTTATTCAATGGAGCACGGGTTTTTAGTTCATTCCGGAGGAAAATTTCGCCGAGAAATAGAAGGGCTGAAAATTAAAGCAGTCCTGTTTTCCCGTTCGGAATGTTCGGCTAAAGTAGCGAAAAATTTAGTTTCCATAATCATATCCATCTCATCTTAACTTTGATACCACCTTCAGGATTTCGCGGCCGTTTTCGGTAAACAGGCTAAATGATAAAAACCAGTTGAGTCCTGAACTAAACAGTAATTTTTCCCTTTGTAACATTTACCCAAACCGTGAACCGAAACACTTTTCCGAAAAAAAAAAAAGGACCAATAGTGACCAATCTAGCTGCTATCAAGTGTTCTTCACCATTCAACTACAACGTTATAGACGAAGAAAACGACCAAAAACCCAAAGGCGGACAAAAGTTCCAGCGTTGCTTTCAAACCACTTTGGAAAATTATAAAGATTACTCCTATTAGAAACAGCAAAATGAACGAAACAAAGGTTCGCTAGTAAATAATTCTATATTGTAACAGCAATTTGAACTTCCGAGTTTTCACAGTGCGTGACACCAAAATAGGAATGCTGTCTCGTTGAAAACAAGTCTCTCCTCTTGATTTTCAGCAGTGTTACCATTATCATTTATGCTCACGTGTGCTTGTTCTCGAGTGAAAAGAAAGAGCTTTTATTGAAAAAGTTAGCTTCAGATGCTTTTGCTAATTTCCGGCGGCCATATTGCGGGACCAAAACGGTACACCAATATGGCGTCTCCATACAAAGCTCTAGAAAGGTGCGTGAAACGTTTCAGCAAATAACTCAGAAACTATGGGCCACAAAGACCTTAGACTGGGACAAATTGTTTATAAATTAGTCTTTTATAACATCTCATTTTCTTGGCTTCTTCCACTGGACGGTTAATTTTTTTTGTTGCGTGACAGTGAAAATGATCTGGTGAAAATGGTCCTGAAAATGTGAAAATGGTCCTGTGCGCTGCATGCCAACTGATAACCTCAAGAAAGTAGAAAGAAGAAAATGGCTGCGTTGCAGCCGGCCCACGCACTCGTCTAAACCATTTGTTTTGCTCTCTACTTAAGGTTTAGAGCGTCTGCGACGTAAGCGAAAAGGAAAATAGTTTTCAAGTCATTGAACAGAATAAGAATCGATCAAAGAAATCTCAGGTAAAGTCTAAAAATGTGCACCAAAGAATATCATAAATGGACAACTCAAAGAAGGGTAAACCACCTCACCTGTCTCATTATAACGAGAAGTATTCAAGTATCGCCTCTTGATCGAGTTGAGACCTGCTAAGCACTCTTCCGTACTTCGGATCATTCCCCTTCGAACACCCATCTTCATGTTTGCAATATACTGAAGAAATCCTGCCTTGTGAGTTTTCAGCTTGCTTTCTATTAGTTTTACATCATCGGCGTTGTACGGCTTGTGATGCCGTCCTATTCCATTGTGGACACCGTAACCATGTGCACAGATTTCCTGCCAACAGAACAAATTCGGGCCCATCATCCAATCTCCGGCGTAGTAGTTGACATCGTAAGGCTGACCGAACATATGTTGAAGATAATGCTTTACTTGTGCCAACGCCTTCCTCTCTCGGGGCTTCAACCTGTTTGTGTTAATGTTCATGTCGCTAATCTCTTTCAGCAACGCCAGAGCGGTGTCCGAGCGGTTTTTGATCACGGCCGGCGTAGGATCGTATGCGACGTATTCTGTTTTTACTCGATCCGGAGTGACGTCTGGATCGGATACAACATCATAAGGATGAAGCTTGAAGTAGGTTGATTTAACGCGATTAAGAAATTCAGGAAGACCTGCATTTTGAGCTTCTTCTGAAAAATCGCACCTACTGGAAGGTGCCTTCGTGACGGGGACTGTTGGAGTGGAACCGGGCTTTGAGGGAGTCGAAGTTGATTTATCATCCTTTTTGGTTGCGGCGACTACAATCAACACGATTCCAACAATGAGGACGATCAAAGCTACAACAAGCAGAGCGATAGTGATAATTCGCTGTTTTTTACCCTCGCCAAACTTAATTCCTGCATACTCGCTTAACATGAATTCCGTAGAGGACGCCATGACTGTGCGACTCGCACCGAGCGACTAAATACAGGAATGGCTCCGACCTGTAATTGGAGGATAAAAATAGTTATTATGTAATAAGTTAAAGCTTAACTTTCAGCCACGTGTCACACTGGACAACGATAGTGATGTGTGACTTCTGTTTCGTCTTATGCAGTGAAAGTCTTCAATTGAAAGAAGCAAGAAGTCGATGTATGGACCTTAAAATTTCACTTACATCGGTCAGAACCTTTTTCTAGTGTTAAACAGTACTAGCAGTGATGGGAAATTGTCACAGCGTTGGCGAACAGCATTAAGTTCGGAGTCAAACACTCGGAGCTATTCCTGTGTTTAGTCGCTCGATAAGGAAAGTGGATCAACCTGTGCCTTGTCTATGTCATCCAAAGCATTCTCTTACTATATGTAAACAGTAACTTGATCATATTTGCCTCGACATTGGCAGAAATTGGGTCACCTCTGGTCAATTTCCTTGATTCTCTACTTCAAGCTCAAGGAAACCTTCCTCTTCACAGGTTTCCGGAGGCCTGCTGTCTAATTTTCGAAGGTTACGCAACAATGCCGACACTCAAATATTGGACTTGGGCTACCTGTTTGCCCTATGTAAGCGAATACGGATTTCGAAATCGGAAATTTTTTCTTGTGAAATCTGGAATCCTATACTTTGGAATCCGGAACCCCATTAACGATTAAATTTAGGATACAAGTTCAACTGACAAAACATTTGGAATTCAGTACCTGCAATCCAGAATCCACGGTGTGAAATCCAGAATCCAAGGGTATTTTGGATTCCCTTACATCGGGCGACGATTTACATGTGACAGGGTCACTAGACCTATAATGTTATATCAAGAAACGCATTACTTTTTTATTATCTCGCTCCTAATACTTTTGCGTTTAGGAATTTCCCGGTTTGATTTAGCAAGCTTGTGTATCGCTTAGGGATGATTGTATGTGGGCCCGCAAACCCACATATTAGGGACCTTAAGCAAGAACGGACGGCGACGGCAGTGAAAAAGTCGGTAAAAAAATGAATTTGCGTCCTTTCAATGTTAATCGCGTCTATTTGGACCCTCTCAATATGTTATTCAGGTTCAAAAACAGGAAGGACGATTCGTCGTCGTTTGTTCACGTCCTCCATAAAACGGCAAATTAGGAGATTTCACGTCGTAATCCTACAGTGAACGTCAAGGAAATGAACTAAAAAGCGTGATGCACGAGCAGAGCTGTTGTTTTGATCATTAAAACTATTGTTTTTTTTGAAGTCGTCGTTGTGGTCGTCGTCGTAGTTGGTTAAGCTCTCTATTATTGAGACAGAAAAACTTCCCACCAAAGCTTCTCTTCCGTGAACGACAATTTAGTGCATATATTACACTTATACTATGCATTGTCTCAAAATAGTCTGTTGGTACAGCACTGTCCGGCCCTCGGGCAATCAGCGTTCAGTGAAATATGGTACTGAAATAATTCCTTCGAACATGGTTCGATTTTTGAAGTGGACCCTGCGTTCTGTTACATGTATTGTGAGAGTGGAATTGAATTGACACAGTTCCTTGCTAATCGTGACGTGCCCTGCGAGCAGAGCTTTCTTTGCGGCTTGGCTTTTAGCATTTCCGAAGTCATTTAGGGGTGATGAATGGTCCATTAAAATTTTTAACTCCTCACAAAATTTTATCTTTGCTCGACTCGATGATTTGCTCGCAAAATTTAAACCAGTGCTCGCTTGCTCGTGCTCCCAAAATTCTTGCAGTTGCTCGCACGTGTTCGTACGGATCAGAAAGGAAAGGTCACAAGAAGAACAACCATACAGAACCTTATTATATAGACATGAGTGTTTTACTGGAAACTTAGACTGCAAAACGGTCCGTATTTTTGCGTATTCAAGTGCGCGCGAGCAGTCAAACAAAAGGTCTGGAGCGAAGCTGAGGCTGGCGCGCGACTCTTACGCCACGCTTTACCGATTTCTTTACTGATTTTGAGAAAAAAACCGACTGTTTTGCAGTCTACTAGAAAATATAATACTCTTAAAAACTACATCCGGGACCCGAGTGGTTTTCACATGTGAGTTTATCGATGACGTGATTTCGGTCATTACCCTCTATTATTTTATCGATGTCTTTTTGTCTAGATAATAAAAAGAACAGTACATGGCGGCTTGAAGATATGAATTTATTTTCTCGTTGCAAACCAATATTTTACGAGCGAGCGCAGCGAGTGAGTAAAATATTGTTTTGCCACTCGAAAATAAAATTCATATCTTCACGCCACCATATAATATCCTCACTCTATAAAGCTAGATTAGCTAATTTATTATGTATCGTTGTCATTTGTCGCGTGCATTTCCACTGAACTTGATACCCATATTTATAGAAATTAAGCACCATACAGAATTACATTTACTTTAACCCGAAGGAGGATTTACAAAATTTCGAGCAATACTGACAAGAAAGCGAAAGAATGTTCACGTAAAAGAGGGATTAAAAAAGGAACTTTTTGTTTTCAACAGCTAATGGGTAATACATACGCGCAAGGGTCCTCTCTGGATATGCGTTATTGACCAATCGCGGCGTTATTGATCGGGCCCGGGCGACGTTAGTGACAACGTTCTGTTGTTGCGTTGTTGTGGACCGAGGCCAATAGCAAGCCATTTTAAACGAACAAGCTTGGTCAAATAAAAGAATTCATCATACAGCCAAAATAATTTGTTTCTTGTTGGAGTTCAATCCCAAGTGAGCGAGATAGGCCAATGACGTTTGGGTGGGATAGGCCTGAGGGCGAGGCTGAATGCCTGTTTTACAGTAGAAGCCAACCAGAACCCAAAATGCAAGGATTTAAAGGTCGTTTAAGAGAATCGAACCACAGCTGGTCTCTTCAGAGAAGAGGCCCGGGCACATGGTCTTTCTAGAAGAGAATTTTATGCATGCAATTTCCATGTTACGATATGTGTAGTTCCATACTGTTACTAAACGTTCTCCATACACTTTGAGTTTAGCGGGACTAGGCGTAGTGGATACTAGATGCAATATTCATAGAGATCAGACTATATGTTAATTAAGTGGTCGCTTATAGGAGGTTAAAAACAACGGAAATTACAAGAGCGTCACTCCAAGAAGTCGAGAAGAAGTGATTGCGGTCGCTTACGAGAGGTGGTCGTTTAATTACGAGAGTTTTCAGTCATGAGGCTAATTTGACCGGAAAAATCTTGGGATTGTTGGATTGGTGGTCGCTTATGGGAGGTGGTTGCAAATCAAGGGCACCCAACGACGGTTTCCTTCAAAATACGTTGAAAACACTTTTTAGGCTATCCAGAGTACTCTTAGATCTCTAGAAGTGCATTCTAAGCGGCGCTACAAAAGTTTTATCTGTTCGGTCAAAAGCTTCAGTATTATTTTTCCGAAACTCTGAGGTGTAATTAAACGTTTTACGAAAGTGAGAATTTTTCTGATTTCTCTCTCCATCACATTTTAGAATCCGAAACTTATAGGTTTCCTTTTTCTTACAAAAATCTTGTAACCTCGGTTGTAAAGTATGAAAAGTTAAACTTCAGAAAATCGTAGGGAATTTTTTTTCGAAAATTGTACGTGAATGGAAAGTTCATCTAGAAATTTTTATCAACTTCAACTTCAACTTTATTTAAATTTGAAAATATAGCAAAAGATACATTGGGACTGGCCTGCAGTTAGCGAGGCTATTCGAGGCAGGCCAGGCTACATAATTTACAACAAACTAGACAAATACAAAGAAATTAGGCGTTATATAAGTATATACATTTTACATTAAATAGATACGTTCTACTTAAATGCAAGGACAATAATTAAAGTGAAATTTTAGAAATAAAATAAAATGAAAATAAAGGACAAGAGAATTACTTTTTCATTTTCACGATGATCGTATCCACATCGATATAGGAGTCTTCAGTTTCAAGGAAATCGAGTAGCATTTCTTTTAGTGATCTTTTAAAAGCTTTTTTCGGTCTTTCTTTAAGAATTTGAGGTAGCCCATTCCAAATTTTGACCCCAACACGCGAAAAAGCATTTCGTTTGACACTGAGTCGAGATTCTTTAGTATAAAAATATTCAGAGGTTGAGGCACGTGTGTTGTAAGTATGAACACTAGAAATTCGAGAGAAGAGTTTCGAAATATTAACCGGAGCAGTGTTTTTATTTACATCATACATAAGACTACAAACGGATTCATAATATAGAGACTGTAAAGGTAGAATTTTTGCATTGACAAAAAAAGGTATTGCGTGGTATATCCGTCCCCAAGCAAAAGAAAATTCTTGGCAATATTTTCTTCTCCGAACAGATATTTTACAGAAAACAGTAGTTGGGTGCCCCTGGCAAATGGAGGTTCGACTACGTAAGAAGTACATCTATTGTTCCCAAAAGCAGGAGCGAAAGATTTCGCCTCTAATAGTGAATGGTAAGAAGAAACCGCAAAATATCTCGCCGACCATTTGTTGCTGGCGGTAAGGGGAACTTCTCGAAGAGGAAAGATGTTGATATTGAGGATACAGATGGAGGATTAATTACATGGAACTGATTTATGCTATGGAGCACGAGTTTTTAGTTCATTCCAGAGGAAAATTTCGCGGAGAAATGGAGGGTCTGAAAAAGCAGTCCTGTTTTCCTGTTCGGAATGTTCGGTCAAAGTACCGAACAATTTAGTTTCCATAATCGTATCACATCTCATCTTAACTTTGATACCACCTTCAGGATTTCGCGGCCGTTTTCGGTAAACGGGCTAAATGTTAAACACCAGTTGAGTCCTGAACTAAACAAGAATTTTGCCATTTGTAACATTTACCCAAACCGTGAACCGTAAGACTTTTCCGGAAAAAAGAAAAGGACCAATAGTGACCAATCTAGCTGCTATCAAGTGTTCTTCACCATTCAACCACAACGTTATAGACGAAGAAAACGACCAAAAACCCAAAGGCGGACAAAAGTTCCAGCCTTGCTTTCAAAGCACTTTGG